GTGGGGAAAGGACTCGAGTACCCAGGGGGCAGAGGCCCAGATGCCAGGCGGGCCTGGCATCAAATATTCATGCTGGGTGAGCCCATCCCTGGCATCCCACCTTGTACCCTGAGGCTGCAGGGCAGAAGCTGGCTGCCAGCTGTTAGTGTGGGGTGATGGGGTAACGGGTGGGGTGAGACCCAGGGAGGGATGGGGGGGCGGCGGGCACTCACTTCTGCCGGATGATGTCAAGTTTCTCGCCAATTTTCATGTGGTCTTTGGGTCGGAAGGAGAAAACTGGAGGTAGGTGAAAAGAAATGGGTTAAGAAAGGAAGAAAGATGAGTGGGCGAGCAGGGAGGATCATGGGAAAAGGGAAGGGGGGTAAGAGAAGCAGGGAGAAAGAGAGAAGGAGGTGAGGGGAGGGAAGAAAGAAAAGGAAATGGATGAGTGAGATGGGGGAGAGAGATCAGACAGAGAGAGAGACATGCAGCAGGGCTAGGAAGAGAAGCCCCAGAGAACAGGGACCCACGCGAAGCCAGGAAGAGAACGAGAGACAGCAGACACGCTGCACCCATGCCAGGATAGGCTGCCAGTAGTGGCAAGGAGACCCAGGCTCAGCTCACATCTGGTGGGCTGCTCCGGCGGAGGCCCCGGCACCTCCCGCGCCCACCCAGCCTGAGATCAGACACTGGATCTGGGCGCCCGCCGGGGTGTGACTCACCTGGCTTGTCCCCCACCACGCGGAGCACCCTCGCCTGGCTCTCATCCCCAATGGGCTACAGGAAGAGGAGCGTGTCAGGGGGAAGGAGGCAGCCCCGGGCACCGTCTCCCTCCCAGCAGGAATGGCCTTTACCGTGTCTGGGTGGGTCTCGTTGGGCAGCTTCAGGGCCTGCAGGTAGAACTGTTCTTCTAGCTGGGTCTCTCTGTGGTACAAGGGTATGAGCTGCATCCGTATGTCCCGGCCACGGGCCCGCAGCTCCTGATAGTGAGGGTCCTGAACAGGGCAAAGGGTATCAGCCCTGGGAGAGCCAGGGATCCCTCAAGTGGCCCGATTCATCCAACTCATCCTTGTTGGCCCCATGTAAGTTCATGTAAACGAGGCTTAGGTCTGGCCAACTGGAACCTTCCCTTGCTTTGACTGTGAGGAGCCAGGAGCCAGGCTTGAGGACTGTAGAGGGAAGCATCAGGAGGGTGTGCTGGGCTCTGCCTTCCTCTGCCAGGGGAAGGAAGCTGTGCTCAGAAGAAACCTCGGAGTAGAGCCAGGAGCTGGCTCCAGTTGTGCCTGGAGTCAGTTATATTTTCACAAATCGACAGGCTGTTCTTGTTTTTAATAATAAAATTTTTTTAATTGTGTGCCGTGTGTGCATGGCGGAGAGCAAATCTGGGTCCTCTGCAAGTACAGTCCACTGGCCCGAGCCACCTCTGTCCCCAGCGGAAGCTGTTCTTAGCCCACCTCCTAATCCTGCCTGAATCATGGTGTCTCACACAGTGGAAGAGCTGTGACCAACACAGCACCCTCCCTGCCCTCCCCATCCAGGGCGCAGACACCGGGGCCCTGAGTACCTTTTCAAGTTCGTCGCTATCTTCGTTTGCCTGGTGGAGAAGAGGAGAGGGGGGAGGCGATTACATAATGAACTTGGGGGTTCAGAGTAGAGTCAGGAGAGGACCACGACATTTGAACCTCCCACTGCGCTTCAGTTTCTCTGCTGGTAAAGCACGAGGCGGCAGCATAGCAGGAGTGACACCCAGTGGTGAGTTAACTGTCCCTGCTCCTTGTTTTGTGTATTGTCTTGAGACAGGGTTTGTCTGTGTGGCCGTGGCTGCCTTGGACTCCCTTGAACTCGCAGAGATCCCCCTGCCTCTGCCTCCCTGAGTGCTGGGACTAAAGGTGTGTGCCACCACTGCCCGGCTCTCTCCATAGCTGTGGTGGTTTTAATGAGAACGGCCACAGTAGGCTCCGGTAGTTTCATGGTTAGTCACCAGGGGATGAACTGTGTGAAAGGATCACGATGTGTGGCTTTGTTGGAGGACCTATGTCACTGGGCTCGGGCTCTGAGGCATCGAAAGCACACACCGGGCCTGGTGTCTTGCTCCCTGCCTGCTGCCTGAGGAGCACAATGTAAAGCTCTCAGCGAATGCTTCCCACCACGAGGACAGCGTCCAACCCTCTGAAAGCCTAAGTCCCCAGTTAAACACGCGACGGCCACAGCATCTCTTCACAGCAATGCAACAATGGCCAGGACGCGAGCTAAGGATGGTTCCGACTCTTGATCCCCGGAATCTACCTGCCACGTGCTGCGATCACAGCTGTGGGCCATCACCCCCTTGGGGATTTCTACTAAGGCCACCTGTGGGGGCGCTAACCCTGTGGAGCTTTGTAAATGCTGGATTCTGACTCTAGATGGCTGCTGCAACTGAAGGGCTGCAAGAAAATCTGGCAACATTAAGGGTTTCTGAATGTACGATGACGGAAATTAGCTGCAAACCAAACATGCAACAGATAGGAGGTGGTTTTGGCAAAAAGGAGCTGGCGAGGGGGGAAAGGTTGAGAAGCTCAGGCTCTCTCTTCCCCACAGACCTGATTTCCAGTTTGTCGCTCTTCGCAGCCTTCAGTTCCGGACCAACTATGTACATGATTCAAGCCCCTTTAGTTGGGTTTCTCATTACTCCTTGCCACCTCCAGGCTGCCCTGGCCCACGCGGGACCCATGCCCCATGCTCACCAGCAGAGCTCGGACTGCATCTGCCACAGCCGCCTTCTGTGCCTCCAAGTCCCGGATCTGCTCCCGAAGCTGCTGCAGCTCCTGCCACATGGAGATCTGCGGGAGGATGCCACACGAGGGAGGTGAGGTTCCCACTGCTCTGGAGCCTCCTCTACCGCCTGCAGGCGAGGGGCAGTCTCTCTTCTCATCAGCACCCGGACACCCAGAAGTCCAGGCGGGCACATGGCCGCCCTGAATCAATGCGTTTCCCAGCTCACTTTGCAGCTGCTTCTGTTGTCTTGATCATGACCGAGAGACAAGCGTGCAAGAGTGACTCTGCTTTGTTCTTCTTTCTTGGTTTTATGAGCCTGTGTATCTATGTATAGTTCAGGGTAGTCTTGAACTCATAACCATCCCGCCCTACTCTGAGTGCTGAGACTATAGAAGCACCAGCCTGCCTGCCTAAATCATCTCTTTAAAGGTGACTAAGCTTTCTTTTCTCTTTCTTGTTTCTTTTGTGTGTGGCCACAGCATGGAAGTCAGCAGACAGCGTCCGGGGCTCGGTTCTCTCCTCCCACTGTGCTGAACGTGTTGTCGGCTCAGCGCTAAGTACCTTTACCTGCTGAGCCTTTATGTAGCCCTGGCTAGCCCGGAACTTGGTATGTAGACCAGGCTGGCCTCAAACTCACAGAGATCTGCTTACCTCCTTCAGAGTACTGAGATTAAAAGCTTGCACGGCCATGCCCAGATTTTTTTTAAAGTTTTTTTTATTAATCATTTATATTAATTTCTCCTGTTTGTGCTTGTATGAGGGTCAGGAATTGTTTTTCTCCTCTCACCTGGGAACTGAACTCAGGATATCAGGCACGGCAACAAAGTGCCCTTTCTGACTGGGCCACCTGACCCACAAAAACTTCAATGAAGCTAAAGTATACACGATTTGGAGAGGAATGTCCCCCACAGCTTCTGGCTGGTGATGTTTGGGGAGGTTTAGGAGGCGTGGCCTTGCTGGAGGGGGTCTTTCAGAGTTTAAAACCTCCCCCTACATCTAGTTTGCTCTCAGCTTCAGGCTTGTGGTTTAGATGTGAGCGCCCTGCTCTGCCACCCGCGCTCACTCTGTCCCTGCCAAGCCCAAGTAAATCCTTCCATGAGTTGGTTTGATCATGGTGTATAATCACAGCGACAGGACAGTGGCTGATACAGAAGGGCTCAAACCTGAGTTGGGAAGTCATCTATTCCATTCAGAACTCCCCGTCCCACACACGGCTACCCTCAATTTTAGTTTTCTATAAGATAGAATTTATGTAAGCGGCAATGGTTTTATTATTCGCACAGTCTCAACATCTGGATCACAAACGCTCCTTAAATATCTGTTCAGCAGGTACCCATCCGTCCAGCCCTATTTATCAGCTTGCTATTTATAGCGGGGTTCAGAGCTCTGTCCCCAAGGGTCCCTTTCCCGATCTGCTTTACATCTTACTCCTCGTTTTTCTCTGTGGCCTTAGGGTGAGCCTGGCATGAAGTTTGAGCACAGAAGACAGTGGTATCTAAGTCCAGGGGTACGGCAGATACCAAGTGTCCAGTTACGCAAGGCATGCAAAAGGGCGTGCGGGTCACGGAAGGCATCCGTGAGGTTCCGCAGGGCCTTGGTTCTCAGGGGACCCCTGGCACCTAAGTGGCTGTCATGCACAAGACGCTGCCTAACTTGGGAAGGGACCCAAATCCCGGTCCTTCTTCCCGCTGCTGGAAGGCACCTGGCCAACCCAGGTCTGCAGAGCAGCCCGCTCCCGCCGCCCGCGCAGGCACACTCACGACCGCGTGCAGGTCGGCCGGCCGCAGCCTCCCCTTGCGGAGCTCCAGGGAGCGCGCGGCTGCCTCTGGGCATGCGCACATCGACTCCACGTCCAGGTGAGGGAGCACGCCGTAGCCCTCGCGCGCGCGGTCGTACAGGAGGTTCCGAGGCCGCTTCTCCGCGGCGAGCTCTGTCCCTGGGCTCTGGCTGCACAGGTAGCGCCCTCGGGACCGGAGGCCCTGGCGAGCCAGAAGAGGCCGCCAGAGCCGTGCAATAGGCGCAGCCATCTTGGACCAGAAACAAGAAGTCCCTCACCAGGCACGAGCCAATCAGAGGCTTCAGAGACGCGTCCAATGAGGAAGCCTGAACGCGGGTGGAGCCTGTCACTGTCCAATCGGCATCCTCATCCCGCCTCCTCAGTGACGTAGAGAGAAGTAGCCAATCACGTCGGAGAATCCATCCCCGGAAGGGGCTGGAGCTGGGCTTTAGCGCGGCTACGACCCTGCTAGGTCGTGAGGTGGGTGCAGTTATCCGTCGTCCGAACGTCTCTCTCCTCGGTTTCCCCTTCCAGTATCCGGGCGAGGGCGACTGGAGCCTCGGGGGCCAGCCCGGAGTGAGGCTGGGTTTGCGGGGTCCCTCTGTTGACGCCGTAGAGGGTGATGGTCAGCGTTTTAGAGGGAACCCCGAAGGCTGCGGGAGCGGGACGCTCCCAGGCTCCTCTCTGAGCATCTTCTCTCCTGATACAGGGAGGCACCAGGCGGCGAGATGTCCTGGGCCGGCCTTCTGCGTGGCCTCGCCACGTCCCTCCGTCGTGGTAAGTGAGCGTGGTTCACAGGGACGAGGCCGGATGTGGGCTACCTCCCTGGGGCGTGTGTGCTTTGGCCCGCACTCGGATGGCCTCGGCTTTAAACACGGTGCCCTTTGCTCGCTTTGGAGGCGGGGTTTCACTGTAGCCCAGGCTAGCCTCCACTTCACTTTGTAGACAGGCTAGCTTTGAACTCCGGGATCACCCGCTTCGACCTCCCAAGTTCTGGTATTACAGGCGTTTTCCCACCACGCCCCCCGGCTCAAGGGTCAGAAGCTCCTGTGTCAGGCGTAGCCATGGCTCCTCCACATGGTGGGATCCCGGAGACTGTATTGAGTAATGATATTCAGTCATGGTTTGTATACGTACACTCAAATGTTCACGCAACTGTCACACCAGCAAAGGTTCGTTTCTCAGCGCGTCTTCCTGGTTAGGTGTCTTTCTATTTTCAGCCAGTATTTATTGATGGCCTCCTACGGATGTGCCAGCCAATGGAGGGGAACTGGTCTATGTTCTCAGACATCATCCAGACATCAGGTGTTGTGCACAGTGACCTGAGGGAGGTGTTGGGTGTTTCATTCACCCTGGGATATACCGTCCAAGCTGGTCTACATAGAGTTTCAGTACAGGCAGAGCTACATGGTGAGACCCCAAAAGAGTTTTGTTTATATAGGTGATTTTTCTTTATACGTTTGTGTCTTCAAGTTCCCTGGAACTGGAGTTACAGACTGGGGTGAGCTGTCCCCTGGGTGCTAGAAATCAGGTCTGGGTCCTCTGCAAGAGCAGTCAGTGCTCCTACCCACAAAGCTGCCTCTGCAGCCCCAGTCTCACGGAGGTGCCTTGAAAGCATCTCCTCCAGGATTTCCACCTGCCTCTCCTTGTCTTACACTGCAGCCACCATGGCCTGCATTTTGTTTGTTTTGAAGGCACCGAGGCTGGAGCAGTTTGAACAGGGAACCCGTGGGGAGTAGAAGTCCTGGCAGGTTGGGTAGGGAGTAGGGTCTTTGAGAAGGCTTGGCCTTGCCAGCGTGTCAGCTTACGTAAAATGGTTAAAATGTGTAAGAGCATGATTATGTAATTATGGGTGTAATAAAGGTGAGCTTTTGTTATTCCTAAATACTTATGTATATGAGTGTCTTGTCTGCGTGAATGTGAAGCCAGAAGAGGGCATCAGGTCCCTAGAACTGTAAAGATGGTTGCCAGCCTCTATGTCGTGCTGAGAATTGAACCTGGGTCATCTGTAAGCACGACCAGTGCTTTCAACCATTGAGGCGTCTTTCCAGCCCCTGTACAAATGTTTTGCCCACATGTATGTAAGTGACATGCATATGTCAGATCTGTGAGCCACCATCATCCCTGCAAGAGCACCAAATGCTTGCAACCACTGAGCTGGCTGTCCATCCCCATTAAATACCTGTAGACATAAGCAGACATGACCTTGTAATAGAAAATGGATACCAGATAGCCCCTGTTGTGTCTCTCTAGGCCTTGCCCCAGCTCCCCAGCTGTGGGCCACCCGTTCCATGGCCACCCTGAACCAGATGCACCGCCTAGGCCGCCGGAAGTACTCCCCTAAGTCTCTGGGCCCCACAGAGGGGCGGCCCCAGCTGAAGGGCGTGGTGTTACAGACATTCATCAGAAAGCCAAAGAAGCCCAACTCCGCCAACCGCAAGTGCTGCCGAGTGCGCCTCAGCACTGGCCGAGAAGCCGTGTGCTTCATCCCAGGGGAAGGCCACACCCTGCAGGAGCACCACGTGGTCCTTGTGGAGGGCGGCCGCACCCAGGACCTGCCGGGGGTCAAGCTCAAAGTTGTGAGGGGTAAGCATGACTGCGGCCATGTGCAAAAGAAGAAGTGACCGTGGTTCACAGCTGCCAGTTGCTGGACCCGTGGGAACCAGTCCTTCCTGCTCCAGGGGCGGCTAGTGCCGGGCTCATCAAGAGTTCTGGAGGTGCGCTGAAGGAAGCACCCTGCTGCACCCCGCTGCCCGCTCCTGTGGCTTCCGTGTTCGGTGTCACAGGTTGGACCTCATGCTGGGATGGGGTGTTGTAATAAACCTGCAGGTCGTGATGTCACCATCTTGCAGTGTCTGTCCCCGAGCGTGGTGGCAAATGCCAGTCTGTGCGCCTTAGTTCCCCCTTCTAGAAAACAGCCCACCGACAGGGACTGTTCTAGACGCTGAGGATTATTAAGTATGCTTAGGTATGTGTGTGTGTGTGTGTGCGTGTGTGCGTGTGAATGCACGTGCATACAGGTGCCTTGGAGGCCGGAGGTTTTGCACTCCCCAGGAGCTGGAGTTACACGCTGTTGTGAGCTGCCTGATGGGGGTGTTGGAAAGCAAACTTGGACCTTCTCTAACAGCAGCTTATGCTCCTAACCTGTGAGCCGCCTGCCAGCCCCTTTAGCGCCAGTTTTATTGGGCAGATTTGTCAGAGGTGCCCTGCTGGTTGAGGTTGCAGCCCTTGCCTGGACCTGAGAGCCATGATGAGCCCTGTGCTAAAGGCAGAACTCCCTTCCTCGGCAGGGTCCCCTGCTCTCTGCCTGACTTCATCTGAGAGTGCCTTCACGCACAGGCTCCCCACTTGATATATGGCCTCTGACACAGCCCGTTAGCTCTCCCCTCCCGCTCCTATATGGTAATTAGGTACTGAAATTCTGCTCTTAGGATAGGAGCACGCTGTATAATGCAAATCAAGCACCCTTGAAGAGCCTAGTTCCAACCAATTATATGCACCTGTCTTTGGAGGGCCCCTCCCACTCCCGTAGGGGTATATAACCTTTGTTCTCTGGAATTAAAGTTGAACTAGCCATCGGCCGTTCCGGGATGTGTGATCCCTGTATGGCTTTCTGGTCTCCTGCCCCTCCTGACTTGTGGCCTTCTGGGAGGCAGCCCCCAGGCAGGAGGAGAACGAACAGTTTGGGGGGGGTTAGGGTAGGCGGTAGGGGAGCCCCCCCCCCATAGCCTGCCTGGGGCCAGGTGTCTTACAGGAGGGTAGACTGCAGGAGGAAGCAGGATGTTAACTTGGCAAGAGGTAAGGGGTCTCGGAGGAGCTGATGAGAAACGGTGCCAGCCTGGCAGAGGTGAGGTGCTGCAGGGCCGTAGAGACAGACGTCATCCCAGGGTGGATAGCAGCAGGTACCCACAGCTGGACCTGAGGCTCCTCAGAACATCAGGGTTTCCTTGGAAGCCTGTGTTGGTTTCAAGAACACATGTCCTAGTGACCCCTGTTCCCTGCTAGCAAGCAACCCATCCCAAAAATGTACAGATGAGGGTCAGTGCCCAGGCCTGGAGCCATGGCCAGGGAGCGCCAGCAAGCCTGGTGACCGGAATTTGGTCCCCTGGTGAAAGGACAGAACCTGCTCCTGCAATTGGGCTTGGCCTTCCCATGTGCTGGGGCATGCTTGTCTATGCCAGTGGTTCTCAACCTGTGGGTCACAAAAACATGTTCATATCATGATTTGTAACAACAAAATTACAGTTACGAAGGAGCAATGAAAGAATTTTATGGTTGGGATCACCACGTGAGGAACTTGTGTTAGGAAGGTTGGGCTTGAGAGAAGGAAGCTGTAGACAGCTGGTTAGGTCACAGCAGGAGACCTAACTGAAGCAGGTGTGAAGAGGAGCCCCACAGACACCCGTCGGCTGGGCACTGCAAAGCCGCCTCTGATTTTAACACCACCCGGAAGAAGGCAATGGGTCCTGGGAGTCTGATCAGATCCTGCTCAGCTGGGACGGACGGATCCTGCCCTGTGCGCTGGAGTGGGCCACAAGGGCACCATTGTGTCCTGCCCAGGAACTTCTACACTGTTCAAAAGACACATACTGGATGCCAAAGTCAGCGAAAACATGAGACCTGTGGGAAGGAGAGTGACAGGGTGAGTGAGGCTGGTGGTCCTCTTCCTCCATCCTAGCAGGTTCCCTGAGCACCCGGATGCCACCCGGCCACACCCTGGGTGGCGGGGCACAGCAGTGAGATCATCGGTGAAGGAGGGGCGCCAGATGCGGAAGGCTGAGGGCAGTGGGACTCCCAGGAGGGAGGCAGGTCAGGGAGAATGAACAATGGAAATGCTGGTGGAGGTGATACTGGAGGAGACCAGAAGGATCGGGAGGGAGCCCTGTGAGGCTCTGGAGAAAGTGTTGCAGGTGGTGAGCAATCAGGGCAAAGACTGGGGTAATGGGGGCAGGGAGGGAGGGAGACCCTGTGGGCTTTGTGGGACACTGAGCTTCAAGACGTTGGCAGCCTCCCCCAATTTTATCTTCATTCGTTGTTGATTGAGAGAGGTTCTATGTAGCCCTGGCTGGCTTTAGACTTGGAGATCCACCTGCCTCTGCCTCTTAAGTGCTGGCATTAAAGGCTTGCTCCACCACATATTTTGAGACAGGGTTTTAGGTAGCACAGGCTAGCCTTGAACTCACTAACTGAGGAAGACCTTGAAGTCCTGATCCTCCTGCCTCGGTCTCCTAAGTGCTGTGATTTGAAATGTGCATCCTCAGGCCTGGCTCCTGCCAGTCACACTTGATGTGCATCAACTCCTCAACTCGAGGATAGTAACCGGGCAAGGACTTGGGTTCACATATTACAGCATCTTTAACAGTACCTTGAACGTAGTACGTGCTCAATAAATGCTGCACGGCTGGGCTGTTGCTCCAGTGGAATGGGTTAGTTAACCAGCGAGGCTCTTGGAGCAGAGTCTAGATGTAATGTAAGGACACAGGCCCTACCAATGACACCAGAAGCCCAGGTGACTGTTGGGCAGACACCTTGGAGCGGGCCAGGGCTGAGTGGGCAGCCGGTCTCAGTCCATTGAAGGCCTGGGTTGGGTGAGGCAGAGAACTTCACCCAGTAGGCGGACGCAAAGCCTGTAGATGCAGCCGCTGTTCTCACAGGGGGCCCCAGCTGTGGTCCCTGCCACCAAGCAAGCTCTCTTGAGTTGGGAGGAGGGAGGCTGAGAGCTGTGGGAACCTAAATCAGGGGGCGGAGTCAAGGCTAGGGAAAGGGCCTGGAGGACAATACTGCTAATACTGCTACTTCGGGGCGTGGAACTACCCCCATGAAGGAGCCATGCCCAGGCAGGGACGAGTTGACCTGAAGGAGCCAGAGCCCAAGAGAAGAGCAAATGCTTTCCAGGCAGGACTTCGGCCCCATCACCCTCCGTGAGGGTCAGTTCTTAGGCCAGTGCTGCCAACTGGCTGGAACTTGTGACCATCCACAGGTTTGAGGTCGTCACTGAATGGGCTGATCACGAGACCTGCCTGCTTGGGAAGGGGGGGGGAGGAACGCAGGAAGAGGCTCTTGGGACTCAGTAGGCTCCTCTCCCTCGCTCTGCTGCTCTGAGAACCTCCCCAAAAAGGGAGATTAAAGGCCTGTGCCTCCATTCCCAGCCCAGTACTTATTAGACATTAGCTATCCTCTGTGCTTTAGTTTCTCCGTGTAAACTGAAGAAAAACACCCATGTTGTCAGTCTTGACAGATTGTAGCAGTAGGGGCATGGCTCAGTGGAAGAGAGCTTTGCCTGGAGACCTGGATTTCAGCACCACAAAGACCACCACCACCAAGAACAAAACAGTGACAGTGAGATGTGGTGTGGTAGCGCGCACTTGGAATCCCAGCATGCCGGAGGTCGGGTTCAGGCTCCAGAAGTTAGGGAGACGGCTCAGCCGGTAAAATGCCTGCCTTGCACGAAAACCTGAATTTCATCCCCAGTATCACCTAAAAAGCCCAGAGTGCCAGCCCGGGGATCTGACCTCTCCACGTATACACAATCTGAACAATGTTTAAAATATTCGTTTGAAGGAAGGAGGGAGGGAAGGGGAGAGTGAAAGTGGGGCGCAGCCTGATGGGTGGCTCCCCATCTTTGGACCCTCCCTCTAGGCATCAGGGGCCACTCATTCAAAAGGAGCCCCCTGCAGAATACAGCTGGGCTGAGCAGACAGCATTGCCCCCACCCCGACCCCCGCTTTGCCCTGCCCATCAGCTCCTCCCCGGGACATTTCAGCCTGGTGGCCTCTCACTGGTCTCGCCTTCCACGTTTCTGTGCTCCCCGCCCCAGCGACCCAGTCACCAGCTCCCTTCTACTGTCAGTTTTCTTAGCCGCACTAGCTCCTAAGCCCCCTCGGTCCCACCTTTCCTCGCCTCCAGCCTTCGGCCCTGCCCCACCCACGCGCTCAGGTGGCGCAATGTTTATGCAAGCTCCGCCTTCCGCCCGTGCCCAATCCGCTTCGTCTTAGCCCCTAGGCCACGCCTCCCAAGCAGGCTTCCCGCCCCCTAGCGGCCCCTCGGCCCCGCCCCCTGACTGGCTCTCCTAGGCTTTACGTCCAGTCCTCCAGACGTTAGACTCCGCCCCCAGGGTGGGCCCCGCCCCCTCCGCTCCCGCGCCCCGCGGCAGTTAGAGACGAGGGTGCGGCGTTCCCCGGGCCGCAGGCCAGAGCCACGCGCCGAGCTTCCGGCGTGTGCCGCCGCCGGCGACCTCTGGGTGTGGACGGATTGGCGGGTCAGCCTCCCAGAGTCGCCGACAGGACTCAGGAAGGCCGGGTGCAGACAAGGAAATAGAGCAACTCCGTCCCTCTGGGGCCAAAGACCCTGGAGGTAGAGGCAGGAGGATGGCCGTGAATTCGAGGCCAGCCTGTCCCAGAGCTCCAGCCGGGCGTGGCAGGCGGGTCTCTGTGAGTTCGAGGCCAGCCTAGTCTTACAAAGCGACTCCAGGCCAGCCACGACTACACAGAGAAACCCTGTCTCCAAAAACAAAGCAAAACAAAAAACCCGACAGAGCTCAATAAGGAAAGAGCCATTCTAGCCGGACCCCACCTCGTGCCATCCGCTTGGGCCTTGGAACTCGCTGTCTCTCCAGCAAATCCACTTTCTTCTGAACATCTCGCCCAGAATCCGGTTCTCCTTCCAAACCCGTAGCGTCCTTGCCCCTCCCAGCCGCATCCAGACCACCGACCCAGGCACACACGCAGGCAAAACACAGAAGACAAACAAATCTTTTCTTTTTTTTCTTAAGTACAAGTAGATACAAGTAAAAACAAAGGGTTGAGGTCCCTGTGGGCCTGGGTCCCTGAGAGAGTGGGCCT